CAGGATCAGTAGGACACGAGCTTTCATTGGACACCTCACATGGCCCCCTTTGTACAGACTTTGGGGCAACCCCCGCCCCCGGTGGGCGCAGCAGGGATCCGGCTGCTCATTATAAAAGCCAATAAGGTGACGGGGGGCCTGCACCCCAGCTGTGTAGGCAGCTGTGACTCTCAGCCGGGATGCAAAACGGGAGGTTGTTAGTCGGCTGCATAGAACGGAGCATTCGGTCGAGTCCATCTAAGGCGCCTGGAAGTGGCTCGCTCCGCACCCTCAGCCAGGTGAGACTGACCCACTTCCAGCTGCTTGGCCCCCGACAGGCCTGCTCATCCTCCCCTAGACTTTGATTCACTGGTCGCTTCCCCCTCCTGGGGCTCACATGCAGGCCTTTGGAGCAGCCCCCCACAAAAGTCACATGCCCTTATTCCCACCACCTGAACACTGGTGCCACACACAGGGAAACTGAGGCACGTGCAGCATTCATGCAAGGCAGTCACGCTCCCGTAGGTTCATATACAAAATAACAAGGGAAAATCCCCTTTGTCGCCCCCCCATAGCTGGAGATCACCCCTCAGCGCCGTGCCCCGCCCGTCAGAGCAAGGGTTCAGTGGGGCGCTGGGAGAGCGGCTGCGGGTCGTGCTCCCTGAACGTGAGGGGCTTCAGGAGATCAGGCCGTGTAGACAGACGGTGCCCAGGTGATTGGCTCCCACCTGGCCATAGGCTCCCGGAACGAGAACTCGGGCTGGGCATGCAGAGCAGAGAGGAGGCACCCCAGGAAGTGAGGCCCAAAAGTTAGAGCGGGACAGAACCCTGCAGCCCTCTGACGGCACCTCTGCCCTATTGAACCCTGGGAGGTGCCCGGGCAGTTATCTGGGAACTCCCCAAATGTCTGGCCTGCTGGGCCCCCCCCTTCTTTTCTGACCTCTGACCCCAGCCTGGCATCACCCCTGATGTCCAGCATCTGACCCCCGCCTGGTATCACCTCTGACCTCTGACCCTCACCCCAGCCTGGTGTCACCTCTACCCTCCAATCTCTGACCCCAGCCTGACTCTGTCCTGATTCTTGCTTCTGAACCTGGCTCTGGTGACCCCCCGGCCCTGCTCACTGGCCGCCGTGCTCCCTTCGCGGCCCCAGCGACACTGGGACTAGTGGGAGCGGTGCAGGGACCAGGCTACGATGGGGGATGGCAGCCTGGGGCTTTCCTACATCCAGAGGGGATGTTCTCTAAGAGCCCTTGTTCCAAAAGCAATTTCGTTCCGGGCAGGGCTGCGGCCCCGGTTGCGTGGGAGGCCGGATTCGGCCACAAGCTCCCTGTCTGGCCTTGGAATGTAGGAATCGGGTTGTGCTGCAGCCTAGGAGATTAGCTTCCAAGTGTTACCCCCAAACCAGGTTCTGGGGTGCCCACACAAGAGCCCGCCTAATTCCCCCTTAATCTGCTCTCCCTGGCTCCGCAGGGGTGGCCGAAGACCACGTGGAGGCCACGGACACAACCCTCTGATTGTCACAGGGCTCCTTCTATGGATACCCGTGTGGCACTGCCTGCAAGGCGGGAGAGACTTTACCGGGACCCTCCGGAGAGCGATATTACCCAACGGCAGCGCCTCGTGCCAGAGAGGCGCCGGCGGGTGGGCGTGGGAAAGTTCCAAGGCGCTAGGTGTGCGCATCCCGTTGGTAGCCACGCGCCGCCTTAGTCCTGTGCGTTAGAAACAGGCGCGGCGTGTGCGAGTGTCAGACCTGTGCTGGGCGCCGGGGTGATCTCCCCAGGCCTGTTGGCATCGAGGGACGCCCGTCGCTCCCAGAGCCCCCTGAGAAAAGCCGCGTCGCCCTAGGCGTCCGGGGGACATGGCAAGGCCAGCTGGTGGGCAGGGGGCTCCCGTGTGCTGCGAGCTGGTGTTTGGGGCCACGGCCGGACAAGCCACATGGCAAAGAATCTCACAAGGCAGCTGAATCTTCTCCGGGTTGTCTTCCCTCCAGCTTCCCCTCTCC